CATTTATTTGCCGAAATGAGCTTATCAAAAGATTAGAAGTATTTGATGGTACATGTATCTTCAGCAAAGGTGGGGCACGAATAAATCTGCCACAGGGCTAAATCGGAATAGAAGAATTATTTGGCATGTGGTGTACAGGTGGAGGGAAACCATTAACTTTAGATGGAAGGTAGCGTTGCTGCTAAATGGTAAGGAGGCCGCAAATAGCAGTGCAGGCAAAGTAATTAGTAACATTGAGCCCGCTTTCTTGCCTCTGATTGATGACTCGTAAGTGATGTCGATGTTTGTAAAAATTAAGAGAAATTTAGCTAGATAGCGTTTAGCCTAGAGGGTGATAAGAAATGGTTTGTGAAGGCATCAATGTTAGTTATTTATATTTAAATTTGCCTTTCTTACAACATTTGCACTGATGAAGGCAGAGGTTTCTGCCAAAATATTAAAGTAAATTGTCGTTTCATATCTAAAACTAATCAAACGTCTGTGTTTTTTTTTTTTTTTTTGTAGAAAAATTGGGTGCTTCTCATGGTAAGTGTCACAAAATAATGTTCTCATTTGCATTATGTGGTAAATATTTTAAACTGCGGTCTGGATTAATTAACGCTCGAAACTTCAAGTGCTAAACTCTTAGAGAGTGCTACTTTCTAACTCTAATATTTGTAAAAAATAAAATAAATCAAAATTTAATTAAAAATAAAATAAATTCGTCAAGTTACTGTTGAAACTGGAGAGAGAAAACAAAAGGTTTGCGAATCCATCGATACGACTGAAGAACTGCTATTGGTTTAACAAAGGGATTCCATTTTGCCGTGTGTCTGTTCATTAATAGATCACAAATGACGTGAAAATGTGGTAAGAACAAACCAGTGAGACAATCCCAGATAGTTCCATATATATTGAGCACTGACGCATGTTACTGCTGGTCGCCGCATGTTTAGTTTTTTCTTAAAGTCACAAAAATGTAGCATATAATAATCGTTAGCTAAGACACCTTTAAATTTTTAAGAAAAGTTCCAACGGAAAGTACTGAAGGTTAACGACATGACAGTAGTTTCTATTGTATTCTAAACCATGGCAAACACCGCCGCGGAATCTGCAAAAATAGTTTACAATTTGAAAAGTTTTAATGTCACAAATGCGAGAAAGTTTCGGCTGAATATATATTTTTAGTCTTTTTTATAGAGACTTCTAAAGGAAGAAATAAACAAACCGCTGCGAGAATTAAAACGTTTCTACTCCAGGCAAAAACACGTTGTACAGTGCAACCACCCATTGCGGCCACCTCGTTAATACGGCCACTTTATTCTGGTCCGAAGAAACGCTCAGCCAGTCTTTTTCTTATTTTAAGAACCGCTTTAATACCGCCACTCCGTTAATACGGCCAGTTTTTCGTGGCCCTTTGATTGATGACAAGATTAACGGGGTTCCACTGTAGTTTGAAAAAAGCAGATGACATTTCTTATTGCGAGCTAGGCGAAATTCCAAAAGGTACGAGATTACAGTAGCGTTCTTTGCACTAAAAAAAAAAGACGGACTGACGTTACACGAAATATGACTCTGTCCCCGATCAGAGTGAGAGTGTAGTATCACAGGACATGTAAAAACCACGCGGCTCTAAAGACGAGCACGTAATTCCTTGATATTTAGTGGTACAGTCAAACCTGTATTAAGCGACCCCATATTAAGCGGACACCCTCTATTAAGTGGACAGGGGTGCAAGTCTCATTTTTTCTTTCTCGCATTTACTATTAAAAATACCTGTATCCAGCGGACACCTCTTTTAAGCGGACACGGACACCTTAAACTTGTCCTTTATGGTCATTTCTATTGTTAGAAACCTGTTTAAAACGGATACTACAAAAAGTATGCAAGATTTTTTGTCCACGTTTTAATAGATCGGTCATTTAAGTTGCCAACAAACCGAGCTGTCACAGAAATGCGATATTTTATTTTTCAGTTCTGTTTTTATCTAACTTTTCTCGTGATTGTTTGATTTTGTGAACCTTCACATGATTCGATCAATATAGATACTGTTACTGCATACTTATATTGCCTTACTTCATATACTTGTCACTGTTTATGGACATACGGTATTTCAGAGTTATCGACCGTTCACGAGAATGCTATTTGACCCTTTGAAGGTATTTTAATGCTGACGGATATTAATGACCCTTTTACAGTTTTAAGACGAATGCTGGGGAACCTGTTTTCAGCGGACACCCTGTATTAAGCGGACACTAGCACGGGTCCTGAGGATGTCCGCCTAATACAGGTTTGACTGTACCTTCGAATACCCGCAGAAGATTGAAAAAAGGTCAGCGGTAGTACGTGAAAATTGGTGTTGCATCTCATTCGGAACGTAAAAACATGTTCAAATTTTAATGAGCAATGCAACAATTTTTTTAACGACCTTTGAAAGCAGTTAAAGCATTTAAATATAGAAATTTAGTAATATAAAGCAAACTGTAGAGACCTTAAGATCCATGTATTTTGTTTTTGAGTAACCCGCACTTCAAACTGCAGCTTGGAGTTTGTTGTTTGTTGTTAGCACGTGTTTCCAAGAGTCGTGAATGAAAAAATACAGATAAACATGAATTGGAAGAGGTTCTACAATAAGACAAGCTTATCTATACTCAAATATGTCCCTAAAAGCATTTGCACGTTGGACTGTAGAGGCTCAAGTCAGCACATTTTACCCAAGATTTCATATTCCTTGTCAAAAGAAGCTTCCTCTAGTGACTGTCGGCTCGCTTGTGTTCTTAGTATGATCGTTTTCTTCCATTTATATTTATCAGATGATATTTTGGAAGATATACAGCAGAAATTAATCAGTAAATGTTAAGTTATTTGAATGTTTGCTTTTTGGGATGGTGGTTTATGTTAATGCTTGCAAAAGATACACTAAATTCAGCTAGTTAGTGTTGAACCTGGAGAGAGAAAGGAAAAGGTTCGCGAAGGCATCAATACGACTGAAGAACTGTCATTGATTTAGCAAATAGATTCCATTTTGCCGTGCGTCTGTTCAGAAACAGATGACAGATTAAGTCAAAATGTGGTAACGATAAAGTTGTGAGACATTCTCAAATAGTTCATATATTTTGAGCACTGACACATGTTACGGCTGGTCGGTGCAGATGTATAAAATCATTCAAGTCACAAAAATGTAACATGTAATCGTTAGTTAAGACAGCTTTCAATTTTCAAGAAAAGTTTCAATCGGAAGTACTGAAGATTCACGACATGACAGTAGTTTCTATTGTATTCCAAATCATGACAAACACCGCCAAAGGAATCTGTAAAAATGATTTACAGTTTGAAAAGTTTTTTTTTTTTTTTTAAATTTTATTTGTTATCTGCATGTGCTTACAGGTACAGTATTTACATTGTTACA